TTGACACCTTTCTCAATATAAGCCCCAACATTCTTATCGATTCTTTTATGTGCTTCTTTCCGTCTCTTTCTAGTTTTCATGACACTTTTCTCTTTTCTTTTCACCTATCATAATCTTTACTTGTACTGAAATTACACTGCTTTTTCTGTTTTCTCTTTTTTTGTAAAATCCGTAAAAATCATCTTATAAGAATCCCAAATGGACATAGTACACACACTCATTCGGCTTCTGGTTTTCGACGCACAAACACTTCCAAACATCGCACACGCTTTTGTACATGCGCAAATATACACATTCGCTTTCATATTCACGTCGATAGATATAAACAGATTGGCATTGATAAAATGATAGATGGTTCTTCATATAAAAACATATCCTGATAGATAGATAGATAGATAGATAGATAGATAGATAGATAGATAGATAGATACGCACAGGCTGATATATAGATATGAGTGTGTGTTGAAAAGTTCATACGATGAAGGAGCGATCCTAAGCTTGTGAAATTTTGCATACAAAACTTTCAATGCTTCTTATTAATAACTGTATGGTTTCCTCCAAGGTTCACTGAAATCTCACCTTGTAAATAAGACTTCAAATGCCACTAGTAGCGACTTCTCTTGAAAATGGACAAAATTTCGAACCGTGGTGTTATCAGTTGCCTACAGAAAAATACTTTAATCCCAAAAGACATTCATACCGACATGGTTGCTACATTAAGTGATGACGCTCCAGTTTTATCAACATTGCAATGGTAGGCAGCTGAATTTTAGGAAGGGAAAGGAGAGTCTTGAAGATGACTCAAAATCTGGACATCCTGCGACTGCTTCTACCGTGGAAAATGGTGATGGATGGCAGGCAATTGACTATAAATAAAGAAACCGATGCTATTAGCATATCCCGAGAGATAGAGCGAGTGGAGAATATGCTACACAATGGACTTTGCATGATGAAGCTTTCAGCTCAGTTGGGGCTACGTCTTTTGATACTTGATCAAAATCGCATTTGTTTTATCACATCAGGTGAAAATTTGACAGATCCAGCTGCTTTCCTTGAGCGTTTCCTAACCCAGTGTTATCGTCCGGTTCCTTGTACCACGGAGATAGTCCAAGGTAGAACCAATAAAGAAGAACTCGAATACGTATATGGAATAACACAGATATATTACAAACAGGAATATATACAGAGAAGTAGAAAGTGTTAGTACGAACAATCAGGTCTAGTAGTAATTGTCTGAACGCGACACTGTTTCGGACTGCCTCTGACTCGACTGACTGACTCGCTCGCTCTGACTGACTGACAGACTCCTGACGGACTTCACTCCAGACTTCAAACTGAACTCCCTGCTTCCTCTTGAGGCGCAATATTTATTACGTGTGGAATAGTCCATTATGTTATTATGGGTAAGGTCCCATAACACCCAGAATGGTTGTTAGGCTTTTCACTTTAAGACAGTGACAAAGAGACAAACCAAACTGTGGAAACATCCAACTTCAACTGCTCTAAAGAAGACCAATATCGTTTTATCTGCAGGAAAGGTGCTGGCCTCAGTTTTTGGGAAGCAAAAGGCATTGGGTTTATTGATTATCTTTAAAAGGGCCACACTCTCATAGGAATGTATTATGCAAACTTGCTGAGGCAGTTATGAAAGGTATCAAGACCAAACGTCTTGAAACGAACTGAAAGAGGTCTTATTCCATGCCACATTGCACAAGTTTCAATGTCTGCCGTATGTGGCTGAGGATGAAAGCTTCTTGAGCAATGGGATCCAAGCACTGCAACACCAATGGAAGGGATGTATAGACCGCAAGAGGGGAAATTTAATCCCATTTGGTTACATTCAATGTGAGTATTTAGTCAGGCTATGAATATTTAAGCCAGACCTCGTAGATAGATAACAGATAGATTATGAAAAGATTTAGATAGATCGATAGATAGATAGATAGATAATGATGCGATTTATATACATTATGAAGAGATTTTAATAGATAGATAATGAAGCTATTTATATACATTACGAAGAGATTTTGATAGATAGATAGATCGATATAGATAGATAGATAGATAGATAGATAGATAGATAATGAAGCGATGTATATACATTATGGAGAGATTTTGATAGATAATGAAGCGATTTATATACATTACGAAGAGATTTTGATAGATAGATAGTAAGATAGATAGATAGATAGATAGATAGATAGATAGATAGATAGATAGATAATGAAGCGATTTATGTATTACGAAGAGATTTTGATAGATAGATAATGAAGTGATTTATTTTCATTATTTTGATAGATAGATATATAGATAGATAGATAATGAAGCGATGTATATACATTATGAAGAGATTTTGATTAGATAATATTTATATACATTACGAAGAGATTTTAGATAGATAGATAGATAGATAGATGAATAGATAGATAGATAGATAATGAAGTGATGTATATACATTATGAAGATATTTTTGATAGATAATGAAGCGATTTATATACATTACGAAGAGATTTTGATAGATAGATAGATAGATAGATAGATAGATAGATAATAATGAAGATTTATACCATTATGAAGAGATTTTGATAGATTTTATATATACATTACGAAGAGATTTTGATAGATATAGATAGATAGATATATAGATAGATGAATAATGAAGTGATGTATATACATTATGAAGATATTTTGATAGATAATGAAGCGATTTATATACATTACATTTTGATAGATAGATAGATTTTAGATAGATAGATATAGATAGATAATGAAGAGATGTATATACATTATGAAGAGATTTTGATTAATGATTTATATACATTACGAAGAGATTTTGATAGATAGATAGATATAGATAATGAAGCGATATGATTACGAAGAGATTTTGATAGATAGATAATGAAGATTTATTTTCATTACGAAGAGATTTTGATATAGATATATAGATAGATAGATAATGAAGCGATGTATATACATTATGAAGAGATTTTGATAGATATAATGAGGCGATTTATATACATTACGAAGAGATTTTGATAGATTTTGATAGATAGATAATGAAGCGATGTTATATACATTATGAAGAGATTTTGATAGATAATGATATTTATATACATTACGAAGAGATTTTGATAGATAGATAGATAGATAGATAGATAGATAGATAGATAGATAGATAGATAATGAAGCGATTTATGTACATTACGAAGAGATTTTGATAGATAGATAATGAAGTGATTTATTTTCATTACGAAGAGATTTTGATAGATAGATATATAGATAGATAGATAATGAAGCGATGTATATACATTATGAAGAGATTTTGATAGACAGATAATGAAGCGATTTATATACATTACGAAGAGATTTTGATAGATAGATAGATAGATATATAGATAATGAAGCGATGTATATACAATATGAAGAGATTTTGATAGATAATGAAGCGATTTATGTACATTACGAAGTGATTTTGATAGATAGATAGATAGATAGATAGATAGATAGATAGATAATGAAGCGATTTATGTACATTACGAAGAGATTTTGATAGATAGATAATGAAGTGATTTATTTTCATTACGAAGAGATTTTGATAGATAGATATATAGATAGATAAATAATGAAGCGATGTATATACATTATGAAGAGATTTTGATAGATAATGAAGCGATTTATATATTACGATAGATTTTGATAGATAGATAGATAGATAGATAGATAATAATAGATAATGAAGCGATTTATGTACATTACGAAGAGATTTTGATAGATAGATAATGAAGTGATTTATTTTCATTACGAAGAGATTTTGATAGATAGATATATAGATAGATAGATAATGAAGCGATGTATATACATTATGAAGAGATTTTGATAGATAGATAATGAAGCGATTTATATACATTACGAAGAGATTTTGATAGATAGATAGATAGATAGATAGATAGATAGATAGATAATGAAGCGATGTATATACATTATGAAGAGATTTTGATAGATAATGAAGCGATTTATATACATTACGAAGAGATTTTGATAGATAGATAGATATATAGATAGATAATGAAGCGATTTATGTACATTACGAAGAGATTTTGATAGATAGATAATGAAGTGATTTATTTTCATTACGAAGAGATTTTGATAGATAGATATATAGATAGATAAATAATGAAGCGATGTATATACATTATGAAGAGATTTTGATAGATAATGCGATTTATATACATTATAGATAGATAGATAGATAGATAGATAGATAGATAGATAGATAATGAAGCGATTTATGTACATTACGAAGAGATTTTGATAGATAGATAATGAAGTGATTTATTTTCATTACGAAGAGATTTTGATAGATAGATATATAGATAGATAGATAATGAAGCGATGTATATACATTATGAAGAGATTTTAATAGATAGATAATGAAGCGATTTATATACATTACGAAGAGATTTTGATAGATAGATAGATAGATAGATAGATAGATAGATAGATAATGAAGCGATGTATATACGTTATGAAGAGATTTTGATAGATAATGAAGCGATTTATATACATTACGAAGAGATTTTGATAGATAGATAGATAGATAGATAGATAGATAGATAGATAGATAGATAATGAAGCGATTTATGTACATTACGAAGAGATTTTGATAGATAGATAATGAAGTGATTTATTTTCATTACGAAGAGATTTTGATGGATAGATATATAGATAGATAGATAATGAAGCGATGTATATACATTATGAAGAGATTTTGATAGATAGATAATGAAGCGATTTATATACATTACGAAGAGATTTTGATAGATAGATAGATAGATAGATAGATAGATAGATAGATAGATAGATAGATAGATAGATAATGAAGCGATGTATATACATTATGAAGAGATTTTAATAGATAGATAATGAAGCGATTTATATACATTACGAAGATAGATAGATAGATAGATAGATAGATAGATAGATAGATAGATAGAGAGACAGAGAGCGCAGGGAGCAGAACTACTGACAGACAGATAGAGAGAATGAGGGAGAGAGGAAGGAAATAGATAGAGTGATAGTGTACTCATATTATTGCATTTATATATTCATGAAGAAGAAACTATACTATAGTATATAATTATGATTTATATATTGACTGTATTTTCTTGTACTTTCACTAATTATTTACGTCGACGAAACTAAATAAACGTCTACATCGATATTCGTATAATGAAGCATCTCCTACAAAACTAAAGCGTCTTTTCTACATGTACCATTGGGAAAGGGGAATCACCGAGCTGAATTCAAAATCCGTTTGAATCTATTGCTGTCACTCCTTAGTAAAGCATTTGAGTTTAAATATACGAAAGTCAAAATTAAGCCGGCATGTTTTCTGCAGATTCGGATCACTGCTCTTTGTTCCACCTTGGTGGTGGTCATATGATGAAGCCGGACAGATATTCATGGTTTTGAAATCCCCTAAATAATTTTAAGCTCAACTTTACTAAAGTCAATTGTCTTAAGAGGACATTTAAGCAGAAATTTCTTATTTCTAATTAAACGATAGGGGTTTCCATGTAGAAATTCTTGTTGGCAGTTTAGAGACAAAATATCTAAAAAAGATATTAGACATTGCATTTTAACCCATTTGCGGGAATTACATTGTCAAAAATGGATCCAACATCTACGAAAATATAGGAAGAGATGTTTAGATCATGATTTTCTGATGAATACAAGGTAAGCTGTTTCAAACCAAAAGCGAGTAATGATCAATGTAACGTATGAGTAACTCTGATTTAGATAATTTCGAAAGAGTTTTCTTACATTTTACAGATTTTGTTTGTTTTTGTTTATTTTTTTGTTTTGTTTTTTTTTACTTTTTTATTTTTGAACTTACTCTAAAACAAAAAGTCTTATTCAGGTATTTTTATGCAGACAAAGAAACTGGGAAAATGAAGAGGAGACAAGCTAAAAACAAACTAAAGAAACTATAGAGCGATAAACCGTCATAAATTGTCTTCATTTGCCTGATTTTCTACTTGTATGGTCCCAGTGTCAACCTGTCATAGGCTACTTTTGAAAAGAAAGTGTCAAGTTATCAGTCACTAACATTCATTTCAATAATATTCAATTGATTCTCCAACCAAAAAATATCAGAAAAACTCTCGAAGACTGAGAATCTAAAATTAATAAATGATTAAGCATGTGCGAGTTTTGATTAATTTTAAACGATCATAATTTGACAAATGCTTGTGCAGGTGCTCATCAATTTTTCTTCTTATCTTTTTTTTTTCTCTAGTTTTTCCTTTAATTTTCTTTATACCATTTTTTTAAAAACTTCATTTAATTTGCGATTACATATTTCCTAATATCTCACTCTATGTGTCTCTAAATCGTTCTCGCCTTTCTTCATTCTTAATTATTTATTCTCATTCTTAATGTGGCATTTTCGCCTTTCTGTCCTTAGCGATATCATTCAGAAGTTATCAATTCAGAAAAACCATAGCAAACCCATTGAATGTTCCTGCCATTATTATTCTGTGGTGTACATTGGATATTATATAACAACAAGGTTCTACAATATTTAACTCTCCGGAATTTGTTTCCAATAAATTTTTTGCCCGGGTGAACTCACAACTCATACTTCACCGAACTTTGAATTAGTTTGCAATACTTCTGTTACCCGGATGAACACGACCTACAAGCATAAACGCTTTTATGAATAACTTAATAATGATTCTGTTGGTCGGTCTCATTATCCCTACATCTCTAACCCTTTTAATTAGTTTCCAATAATTTTGTTACCCGGATGAATTCAACACGTCTTAAATACTTAAACACTTTTCTGAATAACATTAAAATGATTCTGTTAGTCGGATGGACTCAACTGATTCTCCATACTTCACCGAACTTTTGAGTTAGTTTACAATAGTATTTATTACCCGGAAAAACTTAACACCTCCTACGTATTTTTTCTCAATAATATTCCAATGATTCTCTTGGTAGGATGGACTCAATTCGTTCTTCACCAACATTTTGTATTAATTTCCCATAATTCTGTTACCCGGATGAACTCAATACGCACTATATATGTCAACGTTTTTTTTTATTATTATTAATAAGTTTCGAATGATTCTAGGTTGCTCCTAGAGACTCTACTCATTCTCCTTTTTTCAATTTCATCCAACCTTCTCCCTACGTTCTTTGGAACCGTTTCCAAAGCTCTGATATTAACTGACAAGACTGGTACTTTTATTTTCAACAACATCCTCTGCTCCCACGTAAAATCCAGATACATATCAATTTTATCAATCCCATCATGTTTTGCTATGTGGCCTGCCGGAATAATTCATTATCTAGCACGTCCTCCTTATTGTTTGCGACGAACAGGTTCAATTTTCTGACTTGGATTCGGTAACCGATTGGATTTCAAAGTCTCGGAGGATTCTTCTGTTTTTACTTGCCCATCTCCTTCATTTTAACTTCTTTATTTTCCCTTCT